GGCTTTAGTTTTTGTAGATTGCTGCTCAGTTTTAGCTGACCAGTTCACATTTTGTCTTCACAGCACCATTTTAAGGAATTTTCGGTTTGTCCCTGCTTGTCCCTATTGCAGAGGGTGGGCACCGGGGCAGGAGGGCTGCTGAGGCCTGGGGTGGGGCAGGCAGACTGAGGGGAGACACGGGAGGTAACGGGAGAAGAAGGAAGGGGTGAATGTTGGACAGAGAGGGGAACGAGGACATAGACAGAAGAGACTGGAGGTCGGGGAGAGGAACGAGGGAGCAGAGCGCCGCGAGACATTTGTCAGAGATGCTTTTGTACAGAAACATCTAAAGGTCTTAGCCTGCTCTCATCTCACACCAACCTTCCAGCCCTCACTTTCCTCTACTCCCTTCTCTCCACCTACTTGCTAAGTTATGTTACCTCTCTGAGTCTCAGTGTCACCATGGGACTGAGGCTCTACTGCTAAATCAATGAGTCGATGTACACCTGAAGCCCTTGACACACGCCTGGCACACAGTGAGAGACAGAACTGTATTTTTCTGCTCTATGCAGGCCCTTTGTTCCAGCCAAACGGTCCTAGCTTAGATTCCTCATACACACTGGGTGCTTCCACCTCTAGGTCTTGACTCCTGTTCCACGTTACCTGGAATGCCCCACTTCAGTGGCACCTCCCTTATGAAGCCTTCCCTGGCACAGATGAGGGTGGGGAAGATTTCCCAATCCTCAGAGATCCTGTGGCTCTTCGGCCACACCAGTGGTGGCATTGCCCCTTTCTGCCTCGCGTCAAGGCTCTGTGCTGGTCTTGACAGCCCTCTCAGGCCGTCAGCTTCCCAAGCACAGGGTGTCTGCTTGACTCGCCTTTGTGCGCTGATTCCCCACGATGCACTGCGCGTACCAACCAATCTGTCAAATGAGCTACTAAGATTGTGAATGTCGTCATCCGACGGAAGAGCAGAGAGTCCCGGGTTCCAGATGAGGTTCCACCACTTACCAGCCTTGCAAACTCCCACATCTGTTTTCTCAATCATCAAGTGGAGAGAACTATGCTTAATTTCAGCCCTGAGGTACACCCAAGTCACATCAACTGCACTACAGTGTCGACAAACCTCCTAGTTCACAGGTAATTGGTTTTGCTTGGTTCCAGACAGCTGATTTTAATACTGATGTTGCTACTTTAACTTGGAATAATCCTTCTAGAGAATTGGAGGTCCTTAAAAGGAGCAAAAGATGTTAAGCTGAGCTACAGCACAGCACAGGACCTGCACATCAACCTACAGCCTGTGATTGTTTCCTCCCACCCTCTGCTTGTGGTTTTCTGTGGGGACAGCCTCCAGGGTTGCTTCCACAAGTGCCTCAAGAAAAGCACTCTTGTCTACAGTCAAATCTTACTGATTTCAAAGTATCACCCACACGTTTGAAGACTATCAGTCTGGAGTCAAGTGGTAAATTCTTCCTTTTACTAGATCAGTTTTGTAGGACCTTATCTTAATAAAGCTTCCACCTCTGGGGTTAGAATCATCTTCTATTTCCAGAGCACATGCCGGTGGCTCAGCCTTTCACCCACCCTCCCCCACACCTCAGCCGGTTCCAGGTTAGCCTTTATCTACAAGACAGGGGCTGGCAACAAACACGAAAAGGGCTGATTCCTCATGACCATTCTCAGCGGTTTGAAGCCTTTATTTCTGTACCTGAAATTAGTACCAGTTCTCGTGATCCACATGCTGGAAGAATTCTATTATGTAACAGAATCAACGGCCCCAAGAATAGACCTCTATATACTTACTACTCATCATCCTTTGTGAAGGGGTGGCCTCCCAACGTTCAATTTCATCTCCAACACTTTAGTCACTGAACTTTTTAATACTGCAAACCTATTCCCTAGAAGTACACGCTCGTGCATCTCTTCCAGGGCTTTGTGGATTAGATCAAATCCCACACCACGTTTGCCCTTTTGTTACAGCTTTAAGCCATGGCCCCTTTACTGAGGGAACTCAGGGATTTCCAATCAACCTGCTCTGTCACCTCACAAGTTCCTCGACAACCACTGAGAGCAGTGACAGCCCAGTAACCACTGATCACTCAGACTACTGGCCAAGCATCCATCAGCCACGCAGCACCGTCTTTCAGGACAGATTAATGGGATCGTGTACCCCTGGCTAAATGCTCGCAAATCAGCTGACCCGTGGGGCACTTGGAAGGGACAAGCTCACTAGGTTTTCTTGGCCAAGAGATTCAGGCCCCAGTTGAGAAGCTACGGGTGTAGACCTAACAGCCACTGCCCATTTCTGCAGTTTCTTCACATACAAGATCGGCTATACAAAAAAATAGAATCTGCAAATCAGGTGTTTCTGAAAACCAAGTTTTATTTAAATAAGGGTTTAAATACATTACATAACATTAAAACTGAAGGGAAGGAAAAAACCAAAGACCAGTTTGTTACTTCACATGGCATTGGGCAGCTGCTGCTAGTCAAGCCGCAAGTTCTACAGCTGGCTACGTGACTGACACATATCAGTTTGAGATTTGTTCCCTTGTCAAAAGTTTAACTCTGCTAGAAGGGTGGCCTCACATTCTGGTGTTTGGACATCAATTAGCTAGGATATGTCTGGTCAAAAAGACCTCGCTGGCAAGCCAGATGTCCTATCACCTCATTAGAGGGAAGGGGGCCACTCTAAGCTCTGTGCACCCGGGCAGGCTGGAGACACCAGGGCATCACTCTTCGACCACCAAAGGCTCCCGCCTAGTGGTGCAGCTGCCGTTGCTGCCTTACCCCATCCTCTCCTCTCAGCTTCACCAAGGGCTGCTCAGGTGGTGACATTCTCTCAGGGCAGGGAACTCTGTAGAGGGAGAGCCGAGGAGCTTCTGGCCAGACATAGCCATCTGTGATCTCGGGGCTCTGGGCTTGGCCGAAACATCACATTATTGCTTTGTTTCAGGCTGGACACTGCCAGGCGCCCACTGCTTGACCTCTGTTTAAATGAGGGACTTCAAGACTAGACAGCATGGCTCTTTTCAGTTTATTGCATGAAGGAGTTACACTAGTCCAAGTTAAAAGCAGACCCCAAATGGTTACATTATACAAGCTGTGAGGTTTTTAAACTTGTGACAAGGGACAGAAGGGAAATTCTACTCATTGCAAGGAAATCCTCACTTAAGCTTCAATGAGCCAAAAGCACTTAAAACCCATGAACCTTCAGCTGGTCCTCCTTAGCCAGTCCAATCTGCAAAGAAAAAAGGGCAGAGTTTTAAAGAGGGGACAGAGAGTTAAAGCCTGTATTTCTGATGCTGACAATTCTGTCTTCCTGCTTCTACACCGGGCAAGTCCAAGAGCCAAGTGCACACCTCACCACCACGAGCACAACGGTTTTCAGTTCAGGGTACGCAGTTAAGAACCAATGCAGCAAGATTGTAGCACTTAGGAACAGCCAACTAGATATCTTATTTCAGTATTTGTGTGCAATTTAAATTTGCATCTTTAAAGTAGATCCATGCAAACAGTAAACTTAAGGCAAACAAATACCTTCTGTTTTTGGAAATACCTTTGTCTATATACCTCCAAACAACTCTTCTGCATAGTCGTACAAAAGGAGCTTCTATGTCCCCAGCAGAAATAGACTAGACAGGATCTGAGATTAGCCAGGGCAGAGCACAAACGGATTATCAAAAAGCGACTGAACTTACCTCTACCAGGAACTGGCATATGTTCTTGCGCTGGTCACCCTGTAGTTGAATTACTTCTCCATATTCTGGATGCTCAATTACAGTACCATTGCAGGCAAATTTCTGCAAGCACAAGGGAATCAAAGCAAATTAGGTCAAGCAACAGCACCAAGGCGCCAATGATCCTCTCTGGGAAAGAACACAACACAGCACTGCCACGTGGGCAAGTTAAATGTGAGTTCCCTACGATCTCATCGAAGACTTACCTTCTTAAACGCCTTCACTAGTTTCTTTTTATCGTAATCATCAGCGATCCCTTGGACGGTAGTAAGAGTCTTCCTGCCGTTTCTCTGTTGAATTCTTATATGGATATAATCCTCAGTGCCAGCAGGAAGTAGATCATCACCCTTACTTGCATCAGCAAAGGGGTCTGGGGAGAAAGTTCAAGCTCGTTTGGAGCTGTCGTAGCTCTGCTGCCACTGCCACCCTCCCACTGGATCTTTTCCAGGTGCAGAAACTCATACTGAAATCGCCAGTTAGATCAGGTATGTCCTTTCTCGACTCTCCCGGAACAGGTCAATCCGGGACGGCCGGCTTCCCCAGCCCCGGAGAAGGCCTGGGCCTCCTGCCCCGGGCCCGCCCTCGGACACCGATCACGTGTCAGGGAAGCCGGGGGTGGCAGACAGCGCCCCTCCCGGCTGATGCAACCGGCCGGAACCCGAGCCCCGAGGCGGGGCCGAGCTTCCCGCCCCATTGGCGTGCGCGTTTGTCACTTAGGGCTGGCGCCGCCTCTCTCTCCCGGCGCCGTGACAACAGCGGTGACGTAACGGACGTGACGCAAGGGTGGCAGGAGGGGCAGGTGTGGCCCGAGGCGGCCCGGGAGCCATTAGTAAATGCGCCACCCGAGCCACCGGGCCCGCCCAAAGGCTGACCTCCCGCCCGCTCCTTCCGGTCGCGTTCTGGGGCCGACTCCTGGGCCCAGGCCTCGGCCCCGCTGCCCGCGCACCCGGACAGCTTCTCTCTGCTCAAGTTCATGAAGGGCCGGGCCGCTCGGCAGCTTTCCGGGCCCCGTCTCCAGGCCGAGAGTGCTCCGCCGCCCAACCGGGCCTTCCCCCCACGGACCGTCCGTCCCGCGGCTTACCGAAAGAGTGGAGGTTCTGGATAGCGGACATACGATACGATTCCTTTTCCTCGGTGGAAACGGCCTGCGGAAGGCGGCGGCGGGAGAAGGCGGGCGGGGGGGACGGAGCGTCGGGAAGCGAGGGGGCTCGAGGGGGAGGCTGCTGAGTCCTCGGCGGCGGCTCAGTGACTGGGGCGGAGGGGCGGCGCCTGTATTCACTTATATAGCCGCCCCTGTGACGCCAGCGCGTTGCACTCACGTCCCGGCCCCACCCACGGCGTCGTGCCCTGAGCGCCCAAGCGCCGCCTCTTCCAATTGGTTCGGGGGCGGAGATGCGGCGCGGCGCTTGCGCAGGAGCTCAGTGCTGCAGGAGGGCGTCCTCCTGGCTCTCGGAGAGCTGGAAGGGGGAGGGAAAGCTTAGTCAGTCTAGGCGCCTGCGCAGTGCGGAAGGAAGGTGTCTGGGCTGCGCAGAAAATTGGCGGAGGTTTCGGGCGCGCCTGCGCACTATGTTCTCTGGCACGTTCCATCCTCTTGACTCTGTTGCGGCGTTACCTGCTCCAGGAAGGATTGTTCCTGGGGGTTATTGGCACTCCTTAGAGGGGATTTAGCTGCCGAGCGTCCCGCACATGACAGATGCCCCCTATCTCATACCCACCCACCTACCCACCGGGTCACACACTTACTCCCACTTTCTTTGCAGATTTACGGCGGCACCTTTATTTAATCAACCTAGAATAATATAACCCAAACCCTAACTTTGGCATTTAGATTAATTTATCATTTAGATGAATCTAATCTAAAAATGGATTAGTCTGTAAATTTACCATTTAGATAATCTAAGGAAAGGACACCTAGCTCATTAGCACGAGGCCAAGAGAGAGTAATGCTGGTTCTGGGGGACCGAGAAGAATTCAGGCGCCTGAAGGATGTCCTTTGTGTCTTACAAATCGTGTGTGGTGGAGCCTTCTCGGAGCGTAGATGAATATTTCCTTCAAATCAGTCAACCCTTCTTGTTCTTTGCATTTATTAATGGAAACGCTCTCCGCTGCAGGGGTGAAAAGAGTGGTTTTAGACGCCACAGGCCTCCAGGGGCCAGGCAGGTAAGATAAAGGAGTGCAGACCGTAGCCAAGTGTGATGTCATGGGGTGTGGTGGGCGTTAGGTTGGAGCTAGAGGCTGCAGCTGCTACTCACATCCAGCCCCTTGTGCTAGATCTTTTTCAAGAGAACCTGGAAATCCAGATTTTTATATAAAATCTCTTGATTTTTAAATATTCCCAATAAATTGAATTTTTGGAAAAACACTGCACAAGCCAAACCAAAAAAAGTGTGTGGTGGCCCCATGGACTGCTGGTTTATGACCTTTAGCAGTCAGGGTCACTGGCCTCGTGGAGTCTAGTGGGAGAGAGAGACAGTAAACAAATAAAATGACAGATTGTGGGAGGTACCAAGAAAGAAGGAAACAGAGTGATGGGAGAGAATGATAGGGGCCTCAGAAGGGCCTCTGAGGAGCTGACATCCCAGCTGTCACTTAGAGGGTAGGAAAGAACCTGCTATGGGGCAAGGTGAGAGGCTGTCCGATGGAAAACCCTGAGGGAGGAGAAGCTAGGTGGACTCAGTAGTTTGGTTTGATTCTGTGTTTACTAAGTAATCTTCTGATGAATAATTTGGCTTCGTTGATTCCAGGAAGCGGGGACATGGGCGTCGATGACATGGGCGTCCCAGTCTCACATCTCCCCAGTCTGCGAAGCTGAGTGCCCTCCTGCCCTCCACCTGGGAGCCTCGGCACTCACAGACCTGGCTCTGCCTGAAAGGGGTTTGGGGCGACAGTGGGTAAGTCAGAGCTATCCTTCCCAGTGTGCACACATTTTGTTATACTGAGTTTTAAAATAACAATGTGGACCAGCTTATCGATCTTTCTTTTTTGGGAAAAGATCCTTTCCGTGTTGTATTAAAGAAACCCTTTCTCTGCCCGAAGTTTATAAAGATATACTGTATTTTCTTTTCTTTTTTTTTTTTTGAGGAAGATTAACCCTGAGCTAACATCTGCCATAAATCCTCCTCTTTTTGCTGAGGAAGACTGGCCCTGAGCTACTATCCGTGCCCATCCTCCTCTACTTTATACGTGGGATACCTGCCACACGTGGCTTGCCAAGTGGTGGGTAGGTCTGTGCCTTGGATTCAAATCGGCGAACCCTGGGCCACTGAAGTGGAACGTGCGAACTTAACTGCTACACCACTAAGTCAGCTCCAAGATATTCTGTATTTTCTTCTGAAAGCTTTAAAGCTTTGCTTTTTACATGGACTTTACTTTTGTGTGTGGTGTGAGACCGGGGGCTATTTGTTTTTTCCTCCGTGGATAACCAATCTTCCCAGCGCCCTTTATTGAGTAACACATCTTCTCCTTACACGCTTGTGCCTCCTCTATCATGATTGTGTTTCCATTTATGCGTGGGTTTGTTTTTGGAGTCTATTCTGTTCCACTGGTCTGTTTATTTATCCCTAAGCCACACTCTCTTAATTATATGAGTTTTACAAAAAGTCTCGAGGTCCGGTAGAAGGAGCCATTTTGTTCTTCAGAATTTCCTTGGCTCATCAAGGTGCTAGTTCCCCTTTCAGCCTCATGACAAGTCAGCACTCCCCACTTGGCACACCATGGGGTTCTGTGAAGCCCCTTAACTTTGCCCTCCCAGGGTGTCCGTGCGTGCTCTCACTCTGCTTGGTACATTCTTCCCACCTCTTCTTCACTTGGTGTTGCCACGCACCCTCAGGACTCCTTCTGAGAAGCCTGTGTTTGGAGCCTTTCTCAGTGCCCTCACTTCCCCTATTTTGGCATGTAGCACACTGCATTTTGCTTGCCTGTTCTTTGGACATACATAATTTGCTGGTCCTAGTGCAAAATGAAAACGTGAGGCCTTTTGTTCAAAATGGCTAAGAATTTCAAGACAGCACAGCAGCACATTAAACCAAGCACAGGGCCCTTCTAAGCACGGGGCGCTGTGTGACTGACACCGGCTGCATGTCTGAGAATCTGGCTCTGCCCTTCCCTGTGTGTCTCCCTGCTAGGCTGTGAGCTCAAAGAGCGGAGTGCGGGCCTGTCTCCTCTACTCTGTGTGTGCGGTAGGGGCCTGGCCCAGCGCGGGAGCTCAGTGCTTGTCCGGTGAACATGTGGACGTACATTGTAGGTGCTCAGTTCCTAGGAATGGCCGGTCCCTGGCTCCAGGCTGTAACCTCTGCCACCCTCTCAGAGAGTCCTGGGGTGGAGGATTGAGAAAAAATCCTTTTCAGAGGTCTGACTCTGGGCTCCAAAGGTCACTACTGGACCTGGCCTCCTGCCGCAGAGCCCAGAGGGTGGCCCTAGAGAAGCCACATTCCCCATCTTCTCTTGCAGGGACCTGGTGCCCGGTGCCAGACCTGACCTGAGTGCACTATAAACAGTTATTGCCACAAACACGCACAGGCGTTGCCCTGGGCGGGATGCAGCTGAGAGGGCAGGCTTGGGGTGGGGGGCCAGGGAAATGGGGGACCCGGTTCTTGATTGCCACCAGCTTCCTGGGTCACCCTGTTCACCTCTCAGGGCTTCTGTTTTATCCCCCATAAAAGAAGGACTGGGTAATTTCTAACGCCTTTGCCAGGTCTAAAGTCTGAAGCTGTATCGTAGGTTAGGAGCATTTCCAAGGAGGGTCTGCAGGGCTCCACTGTCCAGTGTGGGAGGTTGTCTCAGCCCTGGGAGCTTATGGAGGAACAATGGAGCCAGGACGAATTTGTCTGAAAGTGCCATCTGTGCCTGCTGTTAAATGCTGGCTTATTCATGACTGTACTCCCGGTTCTGAGGTTCTGGTCCCGGTAGCCAGGGGCAGGGTACAGAGCACAGGTCTGGTACCTGAACCTGAGTGCCAGCTCCACCTCTTCCTGCCTGGGAGACTCAGCTTCTCCCAGCCTTCATTTTCTCATCTGTACAACCGGGATAATAATATCATTTTCTTAGGCTTTTGAGGGGATTTAAAGAGGAGAACATGTGTGACAGCATACAAATCTAAAGTCATTAAATCACTACATAGATTATGTCAGCTTCCCAGAATCTCTGAGAGCAGCCGGGGACAGGAGTGAGCTCCTCAGAAGGTGGATGGGACAGAGGTGGGCGCCTCTCCATGGTGATCTCCTTGGGATGTGGCGAGGGCATGGCTGTGTGGGACACCTGGGGACCTTCGGCCTCTGTAAGATTCCCCAGGGCCCCAAACTTGGCACAGAAGCAGCAGAATCTCCCTCCAGGAAGATTCCTCTGGGGAAATAGGCATCTCCATGGTAACCAGGGCAGATGGATGATTTGGTCCAAGGGGCCTCCCTGGAGCTCTGGTGCTATAGAAAACCCTGTGACCTAGAGGAGATCCTGGGGGGCGCTAGAGCCCCTTTCCCGTCCAAGATCGGATTTCTGGGCAGCCAGGTGAGACGTTAACTGGCGCAGGATTTAACCTGATTTAAAGAAAGTCAAATAAATGTGGTATTTCTTGCATTCCTTATTTGGGAGCTACCACCCAGGTATGTAAATGACTGGAATACTAGCCCCCTCACTGCCACACCCCCACGACTGAAGGCTGCTATTCTTTTTTTCTGTTCAATTATTTTATTGAGGTCATAATGGTTTATAACATTGTGTAATTTCAGGTGTACATTATTATTTATCAGTTTCTGTATAGATTGCATCGTGCTCACCACCAATAGTCTAATTTTTATCTGTCACCATATATGTGCCCCTTTACCCCTTTTGCCCACCCCTCAACCTTCTTCCCCTCTGGGAACCACTAACCTGTTCTCTTTATCCGTGTGTTTATCTTCCACATGTGAGTGAAATCATACGGTGTTTGTCTTTCACTGGCTTATTTCGCTTAACATAATACCCTCAAGGTCCATCCATGTTGTTGCAAATGGGACAATTTTGTCTTTTTTATGCCTGATTAGTATTCCGTTGTATGTATATAACACATCTTCTTTGTCCAGTCATCAGTTAATGGGCACTTGGGTTGCTTCCATGTCTTGGCTGTTGTGAATAGTCCTGCAATGAACATAGGGGTGCATAGATCTCTTTGTATTATTGATTTCATGTTCTTTGGATAAATACCCAGTAGTGGGATAGCTGGGTTGTATGGTATTTCCATTTTTAATTTTTTGAGAGATCTCCATACTGTTTTCCATAGTGGCTGCACCAGTTTGCATTCCCACCAGCAGTGTATGAGGCTTCCCTTTTCTCCACATCCTCTCCAATACTTGTTATTTCTCATCTTGTTAATTATGTGATGGGTGTAAGGTGATATCTCAGTGTAGTTTTGATTTGCATTTCCCTAGTAATTACTGATGTTGGACATCTTTTCATGTGGAAGGCTGCTATTCTTACCCCGTGGAAACGGAGGCAGACCTGGGTTTGCTGGGGCTCTGACCCCGATGGCGTGGGGTTATTGTGAGATGTGCGTGTCAGGCATCAGCCGGGGTTCTACTGGCAACACCTCACCCTTTCACTCTCCCCTTGCAAGGTGTGTACTGGGAAAGGCCGCAGGGGAGACTTTCTGGGTGCTGGAAATGATCTCAGTTTTGATCCAGGTGATAGAAGTTGATCGAGCTGGACCCTTAAGGCTAGTGTGCTTTACGCATATCTGTTAGTTATACTTAACCTATCTGCAGCCCCCTCTCTCCACCCCCAACACAGCCAGGCTTTCTTTTTGCTTCATCCCCTCACCGCGGACTCACCGCTGCCCACCTGAAGCAGTACTCCTGCTCGGTTCCCCTTCGCCCCTTTGCTGGCGGAGAGTCTGCCCTCTCCATCCTGCTTTCTGCTCCTTCCCTTCTTCTGCATCCTCCTCCTCCTCCTCCGAGAAGTCCTGTAGGAGCCCCTGGAGATGGGATGAGGGGGAGGAGGCCTTGTTTAGGAAGGGGGATAAAAGTCAGAGCCCCTGGCTCCCCTCGCCGGGGCAGGGCCACCTGGGTGGTCACAGTGCTGACTTAGCTGCTGAGGGTGCGATGATAAAGTGCAGCCTGGGCCCGTGGAGGAAGCAGAGGAGCTCAGAGACGCTGCCCCAACGAACCAGGAGCCCGGAAGGAGTGGAGGAAGCGCCCGGCACGGGTGCAGAGAGGGCCCTGCATTCTGACAGCACTGGAGTAGGAGTTCCCTAGGCGGGGGAGGGGTGGACATTCCAGACGGAGGGAAGAGCACTGGACGTGTTGTGTGGAAATCAGTTCAGACCCAGTTCTCGGCCGTCTCCTGGCAGAAGCTCACAGGTGTGTTTGGGTAGGGTAATCTGCCTTAGACTGAGACCATAGTTCCTTCAAACTCTTTTCATTTTTTTTAAAGATTTAATTTTTTTCCTTTTTTCCCGAGGCACCCGGGTAAATAGTGTATTTATGTATTTTGAGGAAGATTAGCCCTGAGCTAACATCTGCTGCCAGTCCTCCTCTTTTTACTGAGGCAGACTGGCCCTGAGCTAACATCCGTACCCATCTTCCTCCACTTTATACGTGGGACGCCTACCACAGCATGGCGTACCAAGTGGTGCCATGTCTGCACCCGGAATCCGAACCAGCAAACCCTGGGCCGCTGAAGCAGAATGGGCACACTTAACTGCTGTGCCACCAGGCCAGCCCCAGTTGTGTATTTTTTAGTTGTAGGTCCTTCTGGTTGTGTTATGTGGGACTCTTCCTCAGCATGGCTTGATGAGTGGTGCCACGTCTGTGCCCAGGATCCGAACCGGCGAAACCCTGGGCTGCCGAAGCAGAGCGTGTGAACTTAAACACTCCGCCATGGGGCCGGCCCCTACCTCTTTTCATTTTATTTTTATTTTTTAAAAGCTAGTGTAAACTCACCTAAGGGCCATCTTCAGGAAGGCTTCTGTGTTCACCCGGCAGCAAGTCTGCAGCAAGGCTCAAGTCCTTCCTGTGGATCTGAAGAACTCTCTGCCAACTTTGAGAGAGCAGGGTGGTTTGCACTGAAGATCCGGAGAGGAGACACAGAGCTTTCACAGCGCGCAGTGGGGTGCCCTCCCCTCTTCACTTCTGGGACCCCTTCAGCCACACCTCTGCACCCGCCCCCAGCACTCAGTTCTCCTCCCTGTGCAGCTCTGGCCGCAGGCCCATGTCACCTGGAGGTGCCCGGGCCTCCCTGGGCGGCCTTTGTTCTCCCTGCCTCCACCCACCTTCACCAAATTAAATCCAGCTCCCAAAGGGCTGTGGCAGCCACGGGCCGCACGTGGCGCACGAGCCCTGGAATTCAGGCTAGTCGGAATGCCCGTGGGCTGGAAGCGTAAAATACACACAGAGCTTTGAAGACTTAGCATGGAAAAGAGTGTAAAATAGCTCAGTAATTTTCTTAGAAATTACTAAATAATATTTTGGGTATATTGGATTAAATAAAATATTAAAGTTAATTTCACCTGTTTCTTTTTACTTTTTAAAAAAACGTGGCTCCTGGGAAATGTAAAGCTGCATAGGTGGCATGCACTCTATTTCTACTGGATGGCGCTGCTCTAGACGATTGTGGACTGAAGAATATCGCCGACCTCATCCTTTGCCCCAAACAGCTTAGTGATCGTCCCCTCTTACCTGCAGCCGGGACTCTTCTTGAGCGGAATTCGGGGCAGGAAGATTTTTTCATTTTGTTGAGCACCCATGGCTTGCTGGGTCCTGTGCGAGGTATATCCCACCCCGGTCCCACGGAATCCTGACGAAGCAGGGTCCTCAGCCCATCTGCAGGTGAGGCGGCCGGCTTGGACCAGGACTTGGGCTGGGGTGGCGGTGGATCTCTTCCTGCCGGGCAGCATGGCCACCCGGGAGCGACCAGATTCCCCCGAGGCACCTCTGGGGTGATTCTGCCCTTGTAAGGGGTCAGCCATTTCCTTGATGGGGCCAGCACCATGTGTGTGTTCCTTTCTTCCTTCCCAAATGCTCCCGGAGAACTTCCTGCGTAGCCGCCCAGGCCCAGGGGAACCATCTCAGTCCCTACAGGAGCCTATAGGGGAGCCCTACAGGTGTGAGTGGGGTTTTGAGTCAAGGGACCATTTGAGATGCTCTCCTGCTAGTTGTCTGCTCTGTGTCCTCAGGAAGCTTGGATAATCTCTCCGAGCCTGTTTCCTTTCCTGTATATATCAGGAGAAAACCCACTGGATTTACTATCCATAACCCCCCAGCCTCCCTTCTAAGGAGAGCTGCTTCAGGTGCCCCTAGGGGCCTCAGCTGGCTTGGGGAAGAGCCTGGGTAGAACTAAGATGCTGGAGGAGGCTGGAGACCCTGGGGGAGACCTGAGCTGAGAAGGAGGCACAGCCAGTGAGGCTGGGGGCGATGAAACTCACCGCAGTTGATGGGGACAGAAGCAGCCAGAGGAGCTGGGAGGAACGACACATCTCCGGGGTCTTAGGGAGGGAAACCTTGTGCGCTGTGTTCTATCTGCCCGTCCTCACTGCTCCTGCGAATCTTTAGTAAATTATTGATAGCTCACTGGTGCTTTTGGGGAGAGGGTTTTCTTTCAAGGACACAGTGAGGTTTGGAGTTCTGTATCAAGACTGGCCAGGGCTGCTCATGGGGGCCCTGTGACACCTTGGCTAGTTTATAGGGAGTCCATGGCTGGTCGCAGACCTCTTATTTATTATCTGCTTCCAAGTGCCGGGCTCGGCGTTAAGCAATTTCCATTTGCCTCTTTGAATCCTCCCAATACCCCACCAAGTGGGAATAGCTATTCTCTTTTACAGACAAGGATACAGAAGCTTAGAGTGGTGGAATTATTTTTGCAAGATCATAGCTAGTAAGTTGCAGGGCTGGATTCAAGCCCAGAGCCTGTGCTCGTAACCATGAAGAGGCACCCGCCCTGGAGGGCTGTCGGTGCCTGGCCCGTGTGCCCCACAGCACCCCGGAGTCACTGCTGGCTTCTCTCCCCACAGCTAGTAGGGGCACTCAGGGCAGGGTGGCCTGGCGTGGCCCTTGAGTGAACCCACTTCCTTCAGATCTTTTGGTATCTCTATGTTTTATTTATTTTATATTATTTTATTTTTATTTTATTTTAAAATAACGATATTTCTCTCCATTGTAAAATAATATCTTCTTATTGCATAAAAATTTAAAAAGTATGAAAATGACCAAAAAAAATCACTGGTTAAATCAGTTACCACCTAGGGATGACCAAAACCTGTTTTGGCGTGCTTCCCTCTGTTTATGTGGATATTTATGAAGCTGTCGACTGCTTTGTGCCATGTTAGCCTGTACGCAGCCTTCAGCACTGCTTCGAGTTCTCCCCAAAGAGTCCGTTCTTACTAAATACGCGTGAGTGATGTAAGCTTTACCCAGTGACCCCAGAAGGAGGTGGGGGAGGGCATTTACAACTCTCTCCCCCAACACAGCTCAAAAGTCTTAGCAGGCTCAGACCCCTCCTGACCTCTCAGATGGCATCTCTTTCTCCTCTGGGATCTGCGTTTCCCGGCTCCTTCATCTCCTCTTTTGATCCTATCCTAGTTTCAGACCTTAAACTCTTCTCCCCTCAGTTTTGCAGTTCAGCTCTGCCCCATGCCTCCCCAAAAGTGTACAGCCAAGATCTAATATCAAACCTGAAGTGAACGATCACCGTTGTGCAGCCAATCTATGACACTGGGTGTAATGGAAGAAAGTAGGAACTTTATTGTGAAACGCTGAGCAGGGAGAATGGGTGCCTGAACTCCGTGAAAAACTGCAAGCATGGGTTTTTTTTAAAGATTGCCTCCTGAGCTAAGATCTGTTGCCAATCTTCTTTTTTTCCCCTCTTTTCTTCTTCTTCTCCCAAAGGCCCCTCAGTATGTAGTTGTATATTCTAGTTTCAGGTCCTTCTGATTGTGCTCTGTGGGATGCCACCTCAGCATGGCCTGACAGCAGTGTGAGGTCCACACCCAGGATCCGAATCAGTGAAACCCTGGGGCGCGAAAGCAGAGCGTGTGAACTTAACCACTCAGCCACGGGGCTGGCCCCTGGGTTTTTATTTGGGGTTTTAGGCAGAGGAGGGGGAGCATGTGGCCTTGGGGGCTAAAGTTCTAAGAGTCCTCTGCACAGGCGTGAATGTCTGTTCTATGTGTTGCATGGGGTGGAGTTTTAGTCTGTGATGTCTAACGTCTACAAGCAGTCATTTTAGCTTCTCAATGCTCCTCCAAGATGCTGAGTCAGGCGAGGGTGCTGTCTGGAAGTTCCTCTATTATCACTGGTCCTCCTGCTGTTCTGCAAGGCAAGCTCAGAAACTTTGGTTATTTTGTTTCCCACGTTAACCTTGTGGGTACCAGGCAGTTTCACCCTGACCCAGGGAAATTTTAACTCCTTCACCCTCAGTTTCAATCCCTCCTCTCTTTTGATCATTGCCCAATCTTGAGGAATGGGGGCAAAGACTGCTCTAGTTGCTTCCTGCTGTGAAAGGGCAAAGTTCAAGGTCAGAGGAATGAAATTGTTCTACCTTTATTTAAAAATATTCTTGAATGCCAGGTGGGGGAGAGTGAGGTATATTCTGCATGACTAATATTTAGTACCCTGATCAATGGCTTTGGAACAACACTTAGGTCTATGTTTTACAATTACACAGACCCACCACAAATATTAGCAAAATAGACAGCCCAAATTTTAGTATCCCCTCTATAGTGGACCTTAATCCTTGGGGAATCCAGGAGAAGAGGCCTGTAAACCAATCAAGGTTAGGTCCTGGAATCTGAAGTGAAATCTGATGTAGCCAATTAGCCTGCTGTCTGATAGTCCAACAAGTAAGGTAAGAACCTGGGAGTCATTCATTAATTATCTTAGGGAGATGGTCTTCTATACAGCAACTTGAAGTCTATCACAGTTTCACTTGTCCATTTGGAGAAGTTTGTGTCTAGAGTATGAAGCCAACCATGGTTTGGGTGGTCCTGGTTGTGATGTACTTCTGTGGCATGTTTCCTGTTCCCTGTGGCACTTCTTGTATGGCCCATCCAGCAGGGATGAAGTTGATCTTCCGGGTGCTTGTGTTTCCAGGATTTTAGTAGGATCCAGTCTCCACAACAAAGATGATGCAGAGGAACATCTGACAGTGTCTAGTTCTCTAATTTGAGTTCTCTCTGGATCTTTTGGATCATCTCTAGAACAGAGGGAGGTCCCCCAAAGTTAGGCCTATATTGTATAAGCAAGTAACCAGGTATTTAATAAGAAGAATTTCTAGGGAAACAAAAAGAAAACAAAGTTAATGGTTGGAGCAAATTATAAACCAATTCCTGAACCTAGGGGACAGCCAGTCAAGAATATTTCTTTTCTTTCTTTCTTTCTTTTTTTTTTAAAGATTGGCACCTGCACTAACATCCATTGCCAATCTTTGTTTTTTTCTTCTTCTCCCCCAAACTCCCCAGTACCTAGTTGTATATTCTAGTTTTGAGTGCCTCTGGTTGTGATATATGGGATGCTGCCTCAACATGACCTGATGAGTGGTGCCATGTCTGTACCCAGGATCCAAACCAGGGAAACCCTGGGCCGACAAAGCAGAACATTCAAACTTCACCACTTGGCCGTGGGGCTGGCCCCTCAAGAAGATTTCTAAATGTCAGGGTCAAAGCATCTTTTGCAGTTTGAAATGTCTCTGTTGATGTCATCAGATGCTCAGGTAAACTTTTTGAGTGGCTTATACAGCAGTAGGCTTAAAGATTGTCTAAACATGGGCTATCATGGTGTTCTCTCTTAAGTTTACATCAAGTTGTCCAGCTTCAGTTTGCAGATAGAAAACAAAAATCTCAAAGACAATTAAAAGAACCAGAATACAATATCCACAAATGTGCATTATAGTTTCTATTTAAGCATAATTTTTTTTCTCTAAAATCACCCTCAGGGGCTGGTCTGGTGGTGTAGTGGTTAAGTTTGCACACTCCACTTTGGTGGCCTGGGGTTCATGGGTTCAGATCCCAGGCACCCACCTATGTACAACTCATCAAGCCATGCTGTGGTGGCATCCCGCATACAAAAAAGAGGAAGATTAGCACAGATGTTACCTCAGAGACAATCTTCCTCACAAAAAAATAAATAAATAAATAAATAAAATCACCATCATTTTCACCAAAGATAGCCAAATGAGGACTCATTGATTTGCAAAATAAGTCTAGTTTCAATAAACTTGGCCCAATTATTTACATAAGTACAGCAAGAATAGCAATTGATCACAGAGGCTCTTTTAAATATGCTTTGCTGGAACTTTTTATAAGGAATCTAAGATTGAAATTTATAGGCCTCTGGAGGCCAGGCCAAGCCAAGGACTTGTCATTAGACTCTGCCTCCAATACCTACAGATTTGGGTGAATTCCTCTCTTCTCTTGAGGTTGCCAAAATATCCTGGGGTTCTTGCACTTGCCAGGGAAGTGACCTTTGTTAATCACTTGCTGAGGTTGCTGGGAATCCTGTAAGCAAGGTACTAAGCCAATATTTCCAAGTAGCTTTATTTGTTCCATGCAGTCAATCCTTGTCCCTTAAAGCTGTTTGGTCATATCTGAATTTATGCATGTTTCTCTCAAATATGACATTCCAGTCGAAGCCTGGTGATATAACCAGTGTTTCCAATTGTGTTCTGCTATAAAAAGAACAGATTGTTATTGAACTTATGCAAATAACTATATTGCCATGAAAATAAGAATACTCACTCATCAAGAGTTTTCAAATTCTAGAGGGATAAGATAAGGAGAAAAAGATAAATGCTTCAATTCTGATTACAAATTGCAATGTCATAGTTTCTTAAGAGAAAAGAGAAAATGTTTCCCTTAAATCTGGAAAAACAAAACATTAAGAAAATCGGCAATATTTCAAATGAAAAATCACAAAAATTATAAACATCCTCATCAATTTATTCAGTCTCATATAATTAATTCTTGATCTTGATCGTCTATTAGTGGTTTTATGAGGCCATCAGTTTCTCCATTAGAGTTCTGTAATTTCATATCCAGCTCAGTTTTATAATCTGAAAGTTCATCAGAAACCTGCATTCTAGAGCACATGCAGTCCTTTCTATGAATCTCTCTAAAGATGAAAGACATCTGCAAAAGCATCAGAGTAAAACAACAACTGTCTGCAAATAACAAAACATTCAAAAATGGCAGTTGACAAAGACACTTGGCCATTTATGTGACGTACAACACTTTGAGATAATAACCAGAATTATGATTGATAACCAAGACAGATAAGAATTTTAGGAATGTTATATAACTTTTTAAAAACACTCATATTAATAATGTTTACCCACACAATATAACCTAGGAAGGTTTATCATCATTTATTTGACAATGCTTCCCATGTAATTTAATATACCAAATAAGTCTAATTAGTTTAATATCTCTATGAAAAGAGAACAGATTCTTTGAGATGTTCCAGGGCCCATTGGAAATTCTCAAAGTTCCTTTTTAAGTCAAAAGAAAGACTTTACCCAGGATTCAAACCTTAGAGGAAGATTGTCAAAAATATCAAAAGGGTTTAAAACACTTAGTAAAACAGGAAACAATGCTTAGTTATCCATTCAATCAAGGTGACAACAGAAGGTGTCAGAGGCAAACAGAGAGAGTTTAACAGTAAAAAGAAACGTCAATAGAGAGACCTCAGTCTTTTCAAACATGGGAAATTATTTTAACAAAGCATAGACTTTCTGTCCCCTAGGCAGACTTATTCAAAAAAAGAAAAGAAAAAAGAAAAAAGAAAAACTGTCTGTAATCTCTTTATCACGAGCAGACCAAAAGTTCAAAAAGATCACCCTTTCAAGAGAGAGAAAGACAAATTCAAATTTTGCACCAGCTTACCTTTGATATTGAAACTCATTAATTTAATTGGATTCATTTTAATCTCAGCAACTTGACCATGCACAAAACTCCTCAGGGTTTTACTTCCACAAACCTTCTGTCACTCACTTTTTACACTCAGAATTTGTCCCATGCTTTTTTTCTTTTTTTCTTCCTAGTACTTGTGGACAAATTTATCTTTCTTTACAAAACAAACAAAACTATCTCCATTCTTTATACTTTCTTTACTGAAAACATACGTTTTACTTTCCTTGTATACAGAAACATGTGCTTTCTTGTAGAAAATTCCCCAGCATGCACAAAACATGTTTATCAGTAAACCTCAGCATCTTTTAGTTTCTCAGATAAAAAAACCAAAGGCAGACAAATCTATGCTTAGTAATCAATTTCTAATATTTTATCTTATGTGAAAATGATGCAGATACTCAAACTTCTATCATTTAACTTAATTTGGCAAAATTCTAAAATTTCAAATTACCAAAAAGATTTTGAAAGTTGTTTTTCAAGTATACAGACAATAAAACGTAATTATTGTACTCAAAAACTTTTTTTTTAAAGATCTTTATTTTTCCTTTTTCTTCCCAAAGCCCCCCAGTACATAGTTGTGTATTTTTAGTTGTGGGTCCTTCCAGTTGTGGCCTGTGGGACACCATGTCAGCAGGCTTGATGAATGGTGCCATGTCCGTACCCAGATTCTGAACTGGTGAAACCCTGGGCCACCGAAGTGGAGTGTGTGAACCTAACCACTTGACCACAGGGCTGGCCTCTGCACTCAAAAACTTTTACTGATTTTCGTCTATCTAAATCATTTG